CTACGAGCGATGAGTATTTCCTTTATTACCCAAAACAGCAGGTGAAGCAGGTCCCAGATTACTACTATCTGGTTACAAGTAGTTTATTGCTCTCACAGGGAGTGTCCAAACAGTTAATGGGAGTCTTATCTAGTGATCAACACTATGGGGTTGAGACAGTCTTTCCGCTTCGATAACTTTTCATATACTGTAATAATGTGTCAAGGAAGGTTATCTTGAGATGATTGAGGCTTAGCATCCCCACGGTGCGTACTAGACCAGGCCTTTTTATTACACATCCCCAGGAAGCAGCCCGTAACAAATGTAACTCCCAGGTACTTATTTACTACTAGGTAACAGGGTGAAGGAAACTTTGCCCATTTGTATCCACCTCCACCGGGGATCGAATCCCGGAACCTCAGGACTACGAATCCGAAGTGCTGTCCACTCGGCTGTCGGGCAACACAAACATCACTTCTATGTTATGTAGTGTTTCTATAGTTATTAAAGACCAAGACATTAGATTTTCCCTTAACTTTTAATTAACTAAGATTGTTTGCTGCATAAAATTTACTTACCTTGAACTTTTGTCATGAGGGAAGGGTCTTTCAGTGGTGAACTCTGAACTAAAGATGCAGAATGACTGTTCAATTCAGGTAGACGACATAATTTCCAGAAACAAACAAGTTGAGAAATGTGTTTGTCCGAAATATGGAATGATGATGGAAGAATATCAGCATAATCTGGAAATTTATGTAAATTTGTAAATATATTAGCAATAATAAATACTTGCATTCAACAAGAATGAGAATACTCTACATTAACATGCAATACATATCGTAGTATATATATGTACACTTTAGACACGTGCAAATAACTACAGTAATGAGATTACAACATATTACTGCATACAAGGAAGCTGCAAGACGGCTAGGAATTACAATGTTACACTGAGAGAAGTAAGGGAATTATCAAGAACACTAAACCATGACAACTATATAGCACTTGGAAGGATAAGGACTGTGGATGGGATGTAGGGAAGAAATGGTTCCCAGTCACTCAAATGGTGGGGGATGAAACGCCGAACTGCAAGAAAGACCATCATTCTACTGACTTGTCTAAGTGGTTGGGCTTTACACCGAGGGAGAAAATGTCAACACGGAACAAGTGATATTTTACAAGGATCAGTTTAAAGTTAGTTTCCAACAATGATCATGACCTACCAAAGGAAATATAATTACATTCTACTGTTTGCCAATAATGCAAAGTTAATAAGGATAGAATGGCTGCAAAATTCTACAAAACATTAACTACAAGAATGTTCAAAGTAGCAATAACTAAAATTTAATTCAAGCAAATGCATGGTAGTATGAGCAGCAAAAAGGGTGAAGGGAGGTATGAAGAGGGTACTGTATCACTATACACAACTTTAAGACAAGATACAGTCAGGAGTACACAAGACAGCGATGGTTTAATAGTGCTTAAGAGCTACAAACCAACCACACACTACCTGGTATTTTAGGAAATGTTATAACAAAAAAGGATGGAGTACTTTTACTTTAGTAAATTTACTCCAGACTAGAATATGGTATCTTATTGTTTAAGGGGAAAAAATTATACTCTAGTGCAAGGCTTTTCAAACTGAAGGTCCTGTCCCATCAGTGGGTCTAAGTAAATAAAATGGGTCATGATAAATGCAAATAAATCCCCGAAATATAAGCGATCTCATTTGCCTCGTTACACATTACCGTTTATGAGTGATGGTACTGCTAAGCAATTGGTGCTCAATTGCTGCAGCTTTGTTCACACTGAAGAAGGATTTTGAGCAATTAAATTTGTCATCAATTTGGATTAAGATTAAAGGAGAAGTTCCACTTAATAGCAAGATATCCTTTTTACTTATTATCTTTTACTACTACTGTACTTTCTGTGTAAACTTGGATTTCTCACAACTCTTAAAAAGTAGAGATAGAAACCAGCTCAACACTGCCTCAGACATGCATGTAGCATAGTCTTCCTGGGCCCCAAATTAGAGACAACTACTTACGAACAAACAAGCATATCCTCCTTATTACTTTTTTTCTTTTTCTTTTTAGAAAATATTGTTTACAGTGTCTTTTCCTAGAATTTTATGTTAAATTTTTTTACTTTATATAGTCTTTACTAAAAATAGAAATGTGCATATTTCAATTACATTCAATTATATGCAATTGAATAGGTTAGATCCAAAAATATGCATTTATCATGCATCACTATTAAATAAAGGTCCAGAATTCAAAGTTTGTGTGATTTATTACACACAGGCATACTGGCCAGCAATACATTATGCTGTTTTTGATGTGGGTCGATGTAAAGAAGGTTGAAAAAAGTGCTCTAGTGCATAGAAAGAGTATACAGTACAATGGATGCCGTGTGGAATAATAAATAAAGGAAACTTCACCTTCTACTTCTTTTATTTTTGGAAAGAAGTCAGACTCTGGAAAGGGATCCTTTTCAATGGTGGACAAGAAGCTTTGCAAATCTGAAAGAAAAAAAAAAAAGATACTTTTCCCCATAATGTTTCAATAAATATTTCATGCATGCTACACATTTATAAATAAATAAGAGCTTAAACATCTTCGATTTTTTATACCTGCATTTGGGTGAGGTGATATGTTACAACAGTTTTGGATGAGGTGAAAAACTTTCAACACAAGACAGAACACGAAATAATGGGTATTGAAGGCCCTCTGCAATTACTTCCATTCTTACCTTCAATACCCATTATTTTGTGTTCTGTCTTGTGTTGAAAGTTTTTCACCTCATCCAAAACTGTTGTAACATATCACCTCACCCAAATGCAGGTATAAAAAATAAAGACTAAACAATTTTTATGTAAATACAATATTAACTATTTTAACATATGAACACAACCAACAAATTGGCTGTCACCATGTCAAACTATCAGCCTTACTATAACAAATGTATTAGATCAAAAGAACACATCCCCCAATGAATGTTGCCATACCAAATAAAGAAACAACTTAAAGGTTTCCCTAGCCATCTGTTGCACTGGCTCAAGTCCCTATGTTGGCAAGGAAGGACTAATAGAATGAGGCAGGAATTACAAACCACCAACTTTGAGGGAGTTAATAGGAGAGAAAGACATGGTAACTTTATGAGAAAATGTAATAAAAGGTCATCAGTGAACTTTTTCCAAACATAAGTACAGTACCAACAAGGCAGAGAAAAAGCTACTTAGTTGACAAGCCAGCCGTTTTAATTCATGAAAATCCAACCATTGAATGTAATTAACCCTTAAGCTGCACAATATTCATAGGCAATGGGAGTAACCTGGTAAATAAAACTGGTGGAATGCTTTCAGTGCGGTGGAAAGACAGGTGTGAAATGAACATGTTGATACAGTGGTACAATGGTAAGGTGAACAGAACCAGACAATTTATAAGCCACATTGTGTTATGGACTACAACAAACATGTGTTTGGTGGATGAATGTGATATGATGGTCGGGGCAGTCGAGTGAGTACGCAAAACAGCGAAATGGACAAAGATGATTTTCCACCTTGCTGACAATGCTGATCAGTTACAATGTGTATCTTGTGAAAACAGGTAGAAAACCACATTTTCGTGCATTTATTTTTCAAGTTTTGAAACAATTAGGAAAATTTGGCAAAGAAATCCCTGGCATACAGACCCATTCAGGACCCAGTACTGCACCATACTCCCACAACCAGGCTCGCTTTCAGGGAGGCCTTTCAGACAAAAAATTACCACCAACTGGAATGTGTAAAGAAGGCCAGTGAGTTCATTGTGTAAGACCACACACATACCCACACACACACACCACACACACACACACACACACACACACACACACACACAAAAGAAGGGCAAGAGCTACGAGGAGAGGTTAGAGGCATTAAATATGCCAAAACTAGAAGACAGTAGAAAAAGAGGTGATATGATCACTACGTACAAAATATTAACAGGAATTGATAAAATCGACAGGGAAGATTTCCTGAGACCTGGAACTTCAAGAACATGAGGTCATAGATTTAAACTAGCTAAACACAGATGCCGAAGAAATATAAGAAAATTCACATTCGCAAATAGAGTGGTAGACGGTTGGAACAAGTGAGAAGGTGGTGGAGGCCAAGACCGTCAGTAGTTTCAAAGCGTTATATGACAAAGAGTGCTGGGAGGACGGGACACCACGAGCGTAGCTCTCATCCTGTAACTACACTTAGGTAATTACACACACACACACACACACACACTTGAAGGAAATATCTTGAAGGATCTTGAAGGAAATATAATAAACGAAGTCATATTCCCAAGAGGCTACTCAGTTTGGAGACGTGACAGGAAAACTAGGAAGGGAGGAGGAGTGGCTGTACTGGTGAAAAAACACCTGAAGGAAAAAAAAGAGTTAATATTTGAAAACCCTCGAGATATTGACATAATGGCATTGCAGGTCTGGAATCAGGATAAGCTGATAATTGTAAATGCCTACAGCCCACCAGCAAGCAACACTTGGACAAAGGAAGAACTGGATGACAAACGAGAGGGCCTCATAATGGTCATGAGAGATATGCAGGCGATGAGTCACAATAACGTGGCTGAAGTATGTTGACCAGACCACACACTAGAAATGGAAGGGACGACGACGTTTCGGTCCGTCCTGGACCATTCTCAAGTCGATTGTGATGAGGACAGGTAGGGACAGGCATTATATAGGCAAGAGAGAGCTGAGGAGGAAAGTCAGGTGTAGGGGTGAAACGTCGTCGTCCCTTCCATTTCTAGTGTGTGGTCTGGTCAACATGAGAGATATTATTGTACAAGCAGATAAAGATAAATCACGACTGTTGATACTGGGGGACTTCGACTTTAGAGCAATAGACTGGGAGGCCTATGAAGCAAGAACGGAGGACTTTTGGACATGCAGATTTGTGAACCTCATTCTGGAGACATTCTTGTATCAACACATAAAGCAAGCCACAAGAATGAGGGAAGGAGATGTTCCGTCAGTACTGGATCTAGTATTCACCAGGAAAGAAGAAGAGATTTTTGACATCCAGTACCTTCCTCCCTTGGGAAAGAGTGATCACGTCCTGTTAGACATTAAATATGCTTTAAGATATCATCTAGAAGAAAATGGGGACATTGAAACAGTTGATAAACTCTATTTAAGGAGAGGCAACTATGGGGAACTTCGAAATTTTTTTAATGAGTGTAATTGGACAGAATTGTTGCTAGGTAGGGAAGTAAATGAAATGTATGCCAAATTTTTAAAACTATACAAGGAAGGCACACAAACATTCATACCAAAACAGAGATGCAGGGCCAGAAAACAGGATTGGTTCGACAGAAATTGTGAGAGGGCAAGAGACCAAAAGACACAAAAATGGAATCAGTATAGGAAGAGGCCAAACCCCCAAACATACCAGTGATACAAAGATGCGAGAAACAACTATACAGCAGTAAGGAGAGAGGCAGAAAGAAATTTTGAAAAAGGGATAGATAAATGTAAAACAGAACCGGGCCTATTCTTCAAATTCATAAACAACAAATTGCAGGTAAAGGATAATATCCAGAGGTTGAAAATGGGAAACAGATTCACGGAAAATGAAAAGGAAATGTGTGAAACATTAAATGAAAAGTTCCAAAGTTTGTACAAAATGAAATCTTCAGAGAACCAGACAATAAGAATTCCAGAGAACAACAGAGCGGATAGAGGTGTCGTAGAGATGAAGTGGAAAATATGCTAAAGGAGCTCGGGAAGAACAAAGCAGCTGGCCCAGATGGCGTTTCACCATGGGTTCTGAGAGAATGTGCATCTGAGCTCAGCATTCCACTTCACCTGATCTTTCAGGCATCCCTGTGTACAGGAATCGTAGCAGACGTGTGGAAACAGGCTAACATAGTTCCAATCTACAAAAGTGGCAGCAGGGAAGACCCCCTCAGTTATAGACCTGTATCATTGACAAGTGTAATAGTGAAAGTATTGGAAAAGCTAATCAAAACTAAATGGGTAGAACACCTGGAGAGAAATGATATAATATCAGACAGACAGTATGGTTTTCGATCTGGAAGATCCTGTGTATCGAATTTACTCAGTTTCTATGATCGAGCCACAGAGATATTACAGGAAAGAGATGGTTGGGTTCACTGCATCTATCTGGACCTAAAGAAGGCTTTTGACAGTTCCACATAAGAGGTTGTTCTGGAAACTGGAAAATGGAAAATATTGGAGGGGTGACAGGTAAGCTATCATGGATGAAAAATTTTCTGACTGATAGAAAAATGAGGGCAGTAATCAGAGGCAATGTATCGGAATGGAGAAATGTCACAAGTGGAGTACCACAGGGTTCAGTTCTTGCACCAGTGATGTTTATTGTGTACATAAATGATCTACCAGTTGGTATACAGAATTATATGAACATGTTTGCTGATGATGCTAAGATAATAGGAAGGATAAGAAATTTAGATGATTGTCATGCCCTTCAAGAAGATCTGGACAAAATAAGTATATGGAGCACCACCTGGCAAATGGAATTTAATGTTAATAAATGTCATGTTACGGAATGTGGAATAGGAGAACATAGACCCCATACAACCTATATATTATGTGAGAAATCTTTAAAGAATTCTGATAAAGAAAGAGATCTAGGGGTGGTTCAAGATAGAAAACTATCACCTGAGGACCACATAAAGAATATTGTGCAAGGAGCCTATGCGATGCTTTCTAACTTCAGAATTGCATTTAAATACATGGATGGCGATATACTAAAGAAATTGTTCATGACTTTTGTTAGGCCAAAGCTAGAATATGCAGTTGTGGTGTGGTGCCCATATCTTAAGAAGCACATCAACAAACTGGAAAAGGTGCAAAGACATGCTACGAAGTGGCTCCCAGAACTGAAGGGCAAGAGCTATGAGGAGAGGTTGGAAGCATTAAACATGCCAAAACTAGAAGACAGAAGAAAAAGAGGTGATATGATCACTACATACAAAATAGTAACAGGAATTGATAAAATCGACAGGGAAGATTTCCTGAGACCTGGCACTTTAAGAACAAGAGATCATAGATTTAAACTAGCTAAACACAGATGCCGAAGAAATAAGAAAATTCACCTTCGCAAATAGAGTGGTAGACGGTTGGAACAAGTTAAGTGAGAAGGTGGTGGAGGCCAAGACCGTCAGTAGTTTCAAAGCGTTATATGAGAGTGCAGGGAAGACGGGACACCACGAGCGTAGCTCTCATCCTGTAACTACACTTAGGTAATTACACACACACACACACACACACACAAAAAAAAAAAAGAGGCCACAGAAACTTTAATTGGTTCTAACATGGTGCCCAGTGTGTGCCGTCCCTTTGTGCTATGTCAACCATTTTGAAGAATATTTCCAGAACTAGTAAATGTCCAATAATGGTGCAAAAACATGTACATATTGAGTGAGTGTATACATTGTACCTGGTTGATGGGGTTCTGGGAGTTCTTCTACTCCCCAAGCCCGG